CTATGTCTGTTACGCTGCTCCTTTGATCCCATTATTTCTAATCTGGCAGAACACATCAATAGGGTATTTAAAGCCTATGGAAAGGGGGTCCGTTATCCCAACAGCTGTTTAAGCAGATGAAAGGGGAAAGTAAAAGTAATTAAATTATAGCACTGACATGGAAATTTAGAGACAGTAGCAAAGGTTCCACCAATTGACTTTAAGGATAAGGATTTAGCAGTGGTATGTGCTGGAATTTTCCAAATGCTTATCAATCATCTTATGTAGAGATTCCCCAACTAAGTGCCTCCTCAATGTGTTCAATCTCATAAATCCTGCTGGATCAAAACAATTGAAGGGCCCCAAATTTCCTAAGGCTTATCTGGGAAAACAAGCATATCCAAATAGATTTCCACTTGTAAAGACGATCTGCAAAGAAAAGTGTCTATCATAAAGGAGTATGACAAGGTTAGTAAAGGAAGAATTCAGGTTCTTTCACTTTATTCCTCTCTTACCCATTTATATGTGAACTTGTCAGAAAACTGTCCCGTCACATCTCATTTCAAAGCAAATGTAAAAATTTTCCAGTGCTGAATAACAGAGACGTGAGAGATCTTCTAGTCCAAATGCCTGCTCAAGCAAGCAGCCCTTATATCATGTCAGACAAATGGTTGTTCAGACTCTTTTTAAAAGCCTCCAGTGATGGAGCATCCACAAATTCTGAATGCAAGCTAGTTGATTGTTCTGAATGTCAGGATTTTTTCCCCTTAGTTCTAGGTTGCTTCTCTCCTTGATTGGTTCCCATCCATTACTTCTTAACTTGCCTCCTGGTGTTTTGGCAAATAGGTGGACTTCCTCTTCTTTGTGGAAGCCCCTCAAATATTGGAACACTGCTATTACGTCACCCCTAACCCTTCTTTTCCCTAGACTAGATATACCCAATTCCTGCAACCATTCAACATATGTTTTAGCCTCCAACCTCCTAATCATCTTTGTTGCTCTTGTCTGCACTCTTTTCAAATCTCAACATCTTTTTTTATATTGTGGTGACCAAAACTGGATGCGATATTCCAAATATGGTCTTATGAAGGCTTTGTATAGCAATACTAACACTTCACATGATCTTGATTTTATCCCTCTGTTAATGCAGTATAGGATTACATTGGCTTTTTGTGCAGCTGCAGCATCACTGCTGGCTCATATTTAAATGATGGTCCACTAGGACTCCAAGATCTCTCTCACAGTCACTGCTATTGAGCCACGTTTAACCTAATCTGTACCTGTATATTTGGTTTTTCTTGCCTAGGTGTAAAAACTTTTCTCTACACTAAATTTTGTTTTGTTAGATAGAGCCCAGTGTTCTGTTGAGAGCCATCTGAAACTTGAGTCTAGGTTCTGGGGTGTTGGCTATTTCTGCAAGCTTGGTGCTCTCTGCAAATTTGATGAGTTCTCCTTCTATCCCTCACCTAAATCATTTATGAAGATATTGAAGAATATTTGGCCTAAACCAGAAACTTAGGGTACCCTACTGCTTACTTCCCTCTAGATAGATGTAGTTCCATTAAGGACTACATGTTGAGTGCGGTTTGTCAGCCAGTTACAAATCCATCTGTTGCAGTGGTGGGTTGCCCCCGGTTCGCACCGGTTCTATAGAACCGGTAGTAAAACTGGTGGGAGGCTCCGCCCACTGACCCTGACGTCATCAAAACGCTTCTGCGCATGCGCAGAAGAGCACACGCACAAGTGAAGCAAGCACACGCAGCCCCATTGCGAATCGGTAGTAAAGGTAAGTAGAACCCACCCCTGATCTTATTGGTGATGCTATCTATCCCACGTTTTTCTAGCTTACCAAGAAAATTGATGTCCACTCTCCAGGCTTCAAAAGGCTGTGAAGTTATTTATTTAAAAGTACCTTAAAGCAGTTTAGCAATCATATTTAAGAACAGCCATATATTAAAACAATTAATATAAAATATAAATATGGAAGGGGAAGAGAAAGAAAAGGAATAGCTATCCTCTCTATCATTTATTTATTTATTTATTCATTCATTCATTCATTTTGTCAAACATGTACGAGATAACAGGTATAAGTATAAACATGGACATGAGCACATGAAATGAGTACAAATAAATGGGGATAGTAGGACAGGGACGGTAGGCACGCTGGTGCGCTTATGCACGCCCCCCTTTACGGACCTCTTAGGAATGGGGTAAGGTCCACAGTAGACAGTTGAAGGTTGAAGCTATGGATGTTTGAAGAAGTAACGACGGAGTCAGGTAGTGCATTCCAGGCATTGACCACTCTGTTGCTGAAGTAGTATATTCTGCAATCGAGTTTGGAGCGGTTTACCTTGAGCTTCTATCTATTGTTTGCCTGTGTATTATTGCAGTTGAAGCTGAAGTAGTCATTGACAGGTAGAACGTTGTAGCAGACAATTTTGTGTACTATGCTTAGGTCAGACCATAGACGGCGTAGTTCAAGGTTGTCCAAGCCCAAAATTTCAAGCCTGATGGCATAAAGTATTCTATTGTGAGCAGATGAGTGGAGGACTCTTCTCGTGAAACACCTCTGGACCTGCTCAATTGTATTAATGTCTGTTCTGTCCCCAACCACACGCACACACACACACCAACAGACGTTCAAGAGTTAAAGACCAAACCAGCCGGCAAAATCCTTTTCCTTATGATAACGGAACTTGGCAACAACCTAGTGGCTGCCTGCCAAGAGTTTATTATTTACAAAGAGGAGAGATAACTTCTCCCCACTTCTGATATATCAAAAGAAACAGCTCAATAATTACGGAGTCAAATCAAGTCCAGAGATAATCCAGTAAAGTCTTATAGCCAAAAGTCCGGCAATCCAGAATGGCGTGGAAGCTTTCAGCTTTGTTCGTCACAAGGTTTGACTAGCCACCACGCTCCCTTTTATATTCTGTGGGGTGTGGTCCAGTGACTCAGCCTAATCTCGGGCACGCCTTTTCTTCTGTTGTGCGCGCTTATCTCTGCGACACTGGCGTGGATCCAGCCAAGACTCATTACCCTCATCACTGTCCATCTGTGGCTGCGTGGACGTGTTTGGCCCCAGCCCTATCTCTTGCCCTTCGGCGGACACCAAAGGCATTGCCAGAGAGGAGGGTCCCGGAGAGGGAGGCCTTGCCAACTCCTCTCCTTCACTCTCGGAGTCCTCTCCTGCCGATGACACAGGCTCAGATAACGGAGCCACAACAATGTCCGTTATACAGTGTGGATTCCAGGCAAACGAGCTGTATTCGAGGATTGGTCTGGCAAAGGTTTTGTATGCCCTAGTTAGCATTACAGTGTTACCAGAGAAGAAGCTTCGCAAAATTCATGCATGTAGTAGTGAGAGAATTACAGTCAGTTGTGGGTTTGGAGAAAGGGAAACAGACATTCTGCCTTGAAATCTAAATTAGATTTGCTGCAGTTTATATATACTAAATTGGAGCTGGTAAGAACGGAACTCAGTTGCTTGGCCTGCAGACATTGTGAGAATGGGCCAATCTGGACATGACTCACCACTGCAACATGTGAAAGTGTTCCGGAGTTAATAGAGTTTTCTAGTTTGTGCCTGATGCAAGCAACTCACTGTGCTAGAAAAAATTACATGATATAGTTGTAGTTCTCTGAAGATGAAGTGAGGAAGCTTAAAGCCACATCAATAAACAGTTTCTTTTCTTTGCATTGGAAATACGTAAAAACTCAACATTTGATTTATAAAACAACTTTCCTTCAAGAGTAGTCAATATGCATCAGTTCTGCTTTGAACCAATTTCCCATTTTTTAAAAAAAAAAAGCAGTTAAGACAAAAACTGAATCTCATAAGCATAAATTACAGCTCTACCATAGGGTCCTTCCCATGTTACACTGATTTCTTTCTTTTTGTTTTTAATCATTTAAAACTTATACGGATCAGAGCAGCACCTTTTTTTTTTACGTTCAGTCTGCATTTCAACACACCATCTATTTCTAAACTGAATGGAGATGTGTTGTATCATATCACGTCCCATTATGTTGTATCTACTACCTTGATGGCGAACCTATTGCATGAGTGCCATAGGTGGCACGTGGAGCCATATCAGTGGACATGCGAGCTCAGCTCCGGCATGCATGCACGTACTGGCCAGCTGATTTTTGGGCCTTCTGGGTTCACCAGAAGTTGGGAAACAAGCTGTTTTTGGCCTCCAGAGGGCCTCCAGGGGGGTGGGGAAGGCTGTTTTCGCCCTCCCCAGGCTCCCAGAAAAGCTCTGGAGCCTGGGAAGGGTGAAAAACAGGCCTACCAGGCCCACTGTGCCATCATGTGCCAAAAGCGGGGGGGAGCACAGGGGGGTCACATGTGCATGCGTGGGGGGCACTTAGAATTATGGGTGTGGGCATGCACACATGCAACCCCCCCCACACTCACCCCGCTTTTGGCACGCGATGGCAAAAAGGTTCGCTATCACTGATCTACTGTAAAGAAAATCTTACATTGCTATTCATTTGACTCCCTTGTATAAATCCAGTTTGATCTTTATGAATCACTTGTTGCATAACTGACATTAATCTATTTGCCAAAATTTTTGCAAAGATCTTATAATCTGTATTAAGCAATGAAATGGGTCTGTAATTTTTAGGTTGACTATGATCTTGATCTTCTTTCGGGATCAGGGAAATAAAAGCTGTTCTCCAGGATGGTGGTACTTCTCCTCCCCGTTGTATTTTAACAAATAACTCCTTAAGAGGTTCTACCATTTCTAATTGAAAATTTTTATAATACACTGCTGTCAAACAAAAAGGGGAGTTAAAAGTTCAAGAGGGGGATAGGAGACTATTGATAATTAGCTTATGTTAGCTTATGATTGTCAAATGTTATACCCTGTATTTTGCTCTGGGAAGTGGGGGGGAGAGGGAGGGGGAGGGGAGGGTTGGAAGGGGAGGGGGAAGGGGAAATGTTTGTAAAAATTTTTAAAACTTTTCAATAAAAAAAAAAGAAAGAAAATATAATTTTAGGAATGTCTACATACCCACACTGAAAACTTTAATAAAGACCAGATGAGAACAGCTATTTCTCCTGATTCTTGAGACGGGACATGAAATATAACCAAGCCATCTCCAGACCAGTTTCTCAAGGCTGAGAAACTTATTTGCCAAGTATGAGTACGGAATATGAGACATCACAGGCTTGGAATGCAGTATCAAATTCATCATGCTAATAAGGTTGCCTTGCCTTTTTAGATGTCAACTTCCCAGCTCCACTTGAAGGAACTGATCATTTTGACACGTTATGGGCACACGCATATGGGCACACCCCTCTGCCTTGTTTTGCCAAGTAATTCCCTTTAAACTTAAGATACTAGCATGTGTATCTGGCAGATTACATAACCATCAAAATTGTGTAAAGCCAGTGCAAAGCCTCCACGCAGCAGCCGTAAAGATCTCTCAAGGCGAGTCTGTCTCTTTAGGATTCACATTTCCAGAAAGATGAAGACATTCTTACATCTGCAATGGCCACTTGCAAAAAAAACCAAAAAAACCTTACCTACTAAAGCAATATTTCATATGGTTTTCATAGTTTGTAAACTGCCTCAGACTTTGCATTGGCTTGACAAAATTTATGTGGGTCTGTATGTGTCAAAATGATAGGTCTAAAAATGTGAGGCAACCTAATACAGGTAGTTCTTGACTTACAACAGTTCATTCGGCATTGAAAAATATGACTTATGGCAACTTTTCATAGTTATGACCTTTGCAACATCTCCATGATCACATGATCAACATTCAGATGCTTGGCAACTGGTCCATACTTATAACTATTGCAGCATCCTGAGGTAACGTGACCTTCTGACAAGCAAAGTCAAGGGGGAAGCCAGATTCTCTTAACAACCGGGTTACTAATTTATCAACTGCAGGAATTCACTTAATAACTGTGGCAAGAGCCTTGGTGGTGCAGCAGACTAAAGTGCTGTTAAGTAGCACCAGCTGCCTGCAATTACTGCAAGTTCGAATCTCACCAGGCTCAAGGTTGACTCAGCCTTCCATCCTTTCGAGGTAGGTAAAATGAGGACCCGGATTGTGGAGGCAATAAGCTGACGTTGTATAAAAAAGAACACCGCTTAGGGGGCCCCCGAAAGCCCTACTAAGCAGGTATATACAAAGGTATGAAGGCTATTGCTTAACGCATTGTAAGCTGCCCTGAGTGTCCAGAGAAGGGCCGCATATAAATCGAACCAAGAAAGAAAGAAAGAAAGAAAGAAAGAAAGAAAGAAAGAAAGAAAGGAAGAAAGAAAGAAAGAAAGAAAGAAAGAAAGAAAGAAAGAAAGAAAGGTAGATAGGTCATAAAACGGGCCAAATTCACTTAACTGTCTTACTTAGCAACATCAATTTTGGGGTCAATTGTGGTTGCAAGTCGAGGACTACCTGTATTTCCTGACAGTTAGAATGATTCATCAGTGGAACAACTTGCCTCCTTTTTTTTTTTTTTTTATAAAGGTACTTATTTCCATGTATGGTGGACCTGTCCCAGGGTAATTGAATTTTGGAAACTTATTCAGAGGTGGTTGTTAGAAATTACTGGATACAAATTACAATTGAAACCTGAACTTTACTTACTAAAGCTTAGGCCAGATAAAATAGGCACTAACAAATGGTATCTGATTGTCTATATTACAACTGCAGCAAGAATATGTCTTGCCCAAAATTGGAAGGGAAAAGACCTATTGTCTGAAGATTTGATTTTAGGGAAAATTATGGAATGTGCAGAAGCCGATAAGCTAACAAAAATTTTAAGAGATCAAAAAGATTCTGCATATTTCCAATGTTTGGACCCATGGTATGTTTGGTTAAATAACAGAATAAAAAGAGGACAATGTTAGCTTAGTTTTTATTTCTCACTTGTATATTTGGACTGAAGGTAATGTATTGTGTAAGGTTCTCACCGCCATCTGTTTGTTGATAAATTTTCTGTTTGTATTTTTTTTAAAGAACAACTTGCCTCCTGAAGTTGTGAATGCTCCAACACTGGAAGTTTTTAAGAAGAGATTGGGCAACCATTTGTCTGAAGGGTTTCCTGCCTAAGCAGGAGGTTGGACTTGAAGACCTCCAAGGTCCCTTCTAACTCTGTTATTCCATTCGAAATAAGAAGTGAAATACCACTTGTTCAAATCATTCTCTTAAATATATTCTATATACATTTGCCTGAACCACTCTAGCAACAAAGCCAGTGGTGGGTTTCAAATTTTTTTACTACTGGTTCTGTGGATGTGGCTTGGTGGGCATGGCATGGCTTGGTGGGCGTGGCTTGGTGGGCATTGCAGGGGAAGGATACTGTAAAATCTACATTCCCTCCCAATCCAGGGGAAAGTTACTGCAAAATCCCCATTTCCTCCTGATCAGCTGGGACTTGGGAGGCAGAGAATAGATGGGGACGGGGCCAGTCAGAATTTTTTACTACCGGTTCTCCGAACTACTCAATATTTCCGCTACCGGTTCTCCAGAACTGGTCAGAACCTGCTAAAGCCCACCTCTGAGCAAAGCGTTTATTGCCTTATTCTTCTGTTTCTTTTTAGAGGTCCTTGAATGATAAAGCCCAAAGAAGGACAGAATGTTAATACTTTTGCAGTGAGAGGCATTTACTTGAGGGCTGTTTATTGCTCTAGTATCATGAGTAGTCTCAGGCAGCTGAGAATGATGTTGGCTCTTTGAACTGCAGATCCCTGTAAACTTATGGAGGCACGCAGTAGCCCAGGCCAAAGCAAGCATGAAACAAATACCCTTCTCTCTTCTTCACTTTCTCCTTGGCAGAAGACCAATGGCTGCAAACCACCAGTTGCCAATGAAGGTAGGTGGTTGTTGTTTTTTGTCCAAATAGACTGGTTTGAAATGGAAGCCGGCTGAGATACACCCTCTCCTGAATAGGTAAGATGGTAAAGGGGAAGGGCTCGCTTGAGTTCGGGAGGCAAAGGAAAGTGAGAATTCCCTTCAATGGGGAAATAGGATTCCTACAGCTCAATGTTTCAAAGCTTAGCAAAAGAAAATACTAGGCAATTGGCTTAGCATTTCTTACTGCTCACATCACAAGATCCTAGGTTTTTATTGAGCTCAGATTGCAACCTGACCCTTTCCACTTCCTCTTAAGAATCACTTGATGGAACAAATATCCTGTCCTTGAGGAAGACGAAACTATATTAAGAACTGAAGTCTTCTGCCTCTTTTCATTCTGATCCTCTATTATTTTCTCTTCCCTTTGATTTGAACAAATTTAAAGAGAGACCTTTGGATCACCTCAATATCCTTCACTGAACCGAAGGATTGCCAAGGCAATTTGCTTCTAACAACTGATGGAAGCAAACCAGGATCTGTTCTACCAATGATATGAACTATTTCCCATTACCTTCAACCTATGGAAAAATAATAATTGTGAATATTCCATAATTTGGAATTAATCGGAGAAGTGATTTACCCCTTCAGCAGAAGCTGTACAGGTAATCCTCGATTTACAACAGTTCGTTTAGTGACCATTAAAAGTTACAACGGCACTGAAAAATGTGACTTATGACTGTTTTTCAGATGCTACCTTTGTGGCATCTCCAGGATCATGCGATCAAAATTCAGATGCTTGGCAACTGGTTCAAATTTATGACCATCGCATGATTCCAGGATTCCAGGATCATGTGATCCCCTTTTGTGACCTGGCAAGCAAAGTCAATAGGGAAGCCAGACACACTTAACAACCGAGTTACTAACTTATGAACTGCAGTGATTCACTTAAGAACTGTGCCAAGAAAAGTCATAAAATGGGGCAAAACTCACTTAACAAATGTCTCACTTAACAACAGAAATATTGGGCTCAATTGTGGTCATAAGTCGAGGACTATCTATATTTGATTACATTGCCAAGGCTTTAATTGAGTATCATCCTATGTTTAGAATAGCAGTAGAAAGAAACCACACATTTTATTCTTTGTCTCACCCTAAGGGGGAAAATATAGGGGTGAAATGCTCCCGGTTCGGACCAGATCGCCCGATCTGGTAACGATGGAGGCAGGTGGTTCGGAGAACCGGTAGCAAAAATCCCTGCCCCCCCCCCCCATGCCCAGCTGAGCCACACAATCATCAGAGGCTTTTTTTTTACTTTTAAAAGCATTTTTTCTACAACCTCTTCGGCCAAAAAAATGCTTTTAGAAATAATAAAAAAAAGCCTCTGATGATCACGCCGCTCAGCTGGGATCATCAAAGGCTTTTAAAAGAAAAAAACACTTTTTTTCTTTTAAATGCCTCTGACGATCCGAGCTGAGTTGCTTGATCAGCAGAGACTTTTTTTCTTTTAAATGCCTCTGACGATCCAAGCTGAGTTGCCTGATCGTCAGAGGCATTTAAAAGAAAAAAAGCCTCTGCCGATCAGGCAACTCAGCTGGGATCGTCAGAGCCTTTTGAAAGCATTTTTTTACAACCTCTTCATCGAAAAAATGGTTTTAAAAGAAAGAAAAATTGGCCACGCCCACCCAGTCACATTATCCCACCACCACCAAGCCACGCCCACAGAACTGGTAGTAACAAATTCTAGATTGCACCACTGGAAAAATCAAATTAATTTCAGACTATTTTTCAAGAAAGTATTACAGAAAAGTAATACAATCAAAAAGTGCACTATGCATTCAACATAGTATGCGAACATGAATTTTCCAAAGGATTAGTCATTTCAACTATTAATCAAAAGTAGAAATTTTGTTTTTTAAATGGTTCTTTTGTATTTGCATTTCATATATTTCTGTCATTCTTTTTTGAAAAATGATACATTTCTGTTTGTTTGGGAAATATCCAAAATCCTCTTCCATGTTCATACAGACTAACGCATGACAAGAGATAGCAATTTACTACAGGAATTGTTGCAAAACACCAAAATTAATTATCGTCCTGTCGCATCTCTTTTTTAAAAATTTAAAATAACCCACCACTGCCTCACAAAGTCATAATGGGACTAGGGAAGATTCATTCTAAAACCCCGCTTCTTCTCTCTTTTTTCTCTGCATGGCATTAACAATCTAGATGGAATTTAATTAAAATGAATGAAAAATGTCTTGAAGAACCACAGCGTTTTACATTGAGAAGTAAAAGTT